CTGCATCACCTGGTGGGAGAAAAGAGTTTCCACTGAGCTTTTACTTACTGAAACCATGATTTCTGCACAAATACAAATCTGCTGTTGCATATTTTAACTTGACAGCTTTGCTATGTTTATATCTTTCTTACTTTAGGTTGCATCCTGTCAGTCTCTGTGATGAATTGAGCATGACCTCCTCCTTCCTTGGCCAACCCATTGATAAGAGCAGAGCTGGCCCCTTCCCCAATCCCAAAGGAGAAACACCTGCAATACAGTAGTTTTGTTTTTAACACACACACCACTACAACATGAGACATACTGTGAGCGTGTGTTTTTGTTTCACCTGTGGGAACCTGAATTTGTCTTCACCAGATTTATCACTTCTTTGGTGTTGAACACCTCGCCGTCAGTAAAGACAAAGAGCTAGGGAGGAGAGTTTACACAGGAGTTACATAACATCACACCCAGACACATGCAGCATGTGTTAGGATGCTGCTGCAGGAACACAACTGACTTTTATGGTGAAGTGTAAAGAATGACAAAAACCTGTTAGTCCAGTTAAAAACAAAACAGTAGGAAGTTCTGCACTGAATTGGTATGGTATTATTAAAGACGAAAGTGATATTAAAGGCACACAGATGTTAAACACAACCTGTTTAAAATGTTAACCGTGTGTGTGCAGTGTGTGTTTTACTTGTCTTGGTTGACTGGGAATGCAGGGCTGGCTGTAAATATGTTTGAGGGGCTTCAGGATCTCTGTTCCTCCCAAATTAGCCTCCATCATCTCAACCTTCTTCAGAGCCTCTTCCATGGAGCTCTGGCTGTACTCCACACTCTTACTGCCATCACACAAATGTAAGAACATACGCACCAAGGCCATCACACATGTACAAACACTTAAAATAAAGACAGGAAGGTATTAGACTGAGTGACATGAGGGAGTCACATATCGGAAGATGTGTTCAAAGCTGGACCCGAAAGTAGATGTTGAAATAGCAGCCCATCGGTAAGCTCTCAACAGGAGCAGCAGAGTATCCTGATGGAAGTAGAGGGAAAGATAGTGAAGGTTACTCTGTGAAAGGGACACTATGGATGATTTTATGATTGTAGTTAGCACTTGCTGAATACCCTGGCACTGCTAATGCGAGTCTGTTGACCCCTGCCGTTGTTCATACGTGAACCCATACTCCCAGATCGATCCATCAAGAACACAAACTCTCCACATGAGGCGACTGATGACATCACAGACTGGGGGAACTCCAGGGTACAGACTCACATCACGACTGGATCACCATCAGAGTGCCTGAAACCATATTATTTATTCTAACATGTAACTTTCTATTCTAACAGAGTAACAACTTCTGCACTCACCAGTCTTGGCTGTGGTCTGTCCTGCCTCCACCACAGCAGTGGGCTGGTGGGCATCTTTGTAATAAATCAACAGTTCAACATCTCTGTCAAACTTGTGTCCTGCAGCCAACTTCACCTGCAGTTCACAAAACACACTCATGAACTTCATTAAAGTATATTTTGTCCTTAGGCACTGAGGAACAATCACACACAGCAGACACATTAACAGTCTACCTACCGTGGCCTGGGTCTGCTCTGTGTTGAGGTGCTGGAGAGGGTCCAGGGAACAGTTGGACTCTACTTTAGAGACTGGACGAGGAGAGGACACTCGGGCGGAAAAAGACAGACTGTAGGGAACCAGAGAGACTGGAACAGAAGTCACCTGGACACTGGCACCTTCACTACCTCCACTTCCTGTGAAAAAGTTGAACGCAATATTGCATAGCAATCCTAAACTTAAAGACACATTACAGTTAAGCATCTAATGTAAATCATACTGACTGATATGGCCATTGCCATCTCTAGAGCTTCCAGCTAACATGGCTGAAAATCTAAAAATGTATCTCTATTTCAGTCAAAGCCCAATGGATGTTTGAATGACAACTGAACACAACACTGAAAGTCAACAACACACTCCTCCATCTCAGTCTTCTTTTATCAATATTGATTTCACCCTCAAAAATACCTGATCCTTTACAGCACAGCACAACTGCCAGATGTTCTGTTGGTGTATTTCACACTGGTTTTTAACTTGCACCAGTGTGTGGACGGTGCACTTGATACTTGACACTGCCACAGACACAGACCAAACTAGTTTGTTGTTCACTAAATTTAAGTGTTGGCTGGATTTCCTACCCTGAGGTTGGTAGCGAGGGTTGAGCACAGCAGGCAGACAAAACCTCAGCCCGTCATCAGCCTGAACAGCCAGCTCAGTGACGTACTCCAGCCTGATGGAGGCGCTCTCTCCTGGAGGCAGACTGCCCACACTCAGGGTGAATATATCTGGACTCTGCTCACTCTCCTCCAACAGGAAGGCCTGCTGACCAGAGCTCAGCGCATCATCATACTCCTCACGAGCCTGGAGCACAGATGACACATGTCAGCAACATTCACCATGTTTATTTTTTCTTTAAGATCCATTACAGTGAGTAAGCATTTACTGTCCAGCTCACCTGCTGTTTCTCCTTCACCTCAGCTACAATCTGTGTCTGTCCAATCTTAGCACTGAAATGACAGACAGCAGCATCTCCAGGCAGAGGGAAGACAAAAACAGCCTCTACTGGTTTGTCCTCCTTGTTCTCGTAGGTCAGGGTGGAGACCACCGTAGCCACATGGTCCCTGACCTCCAGCTCCACCTCGATGCTCTTCAGAGGAACTGACCGAGAAACAAAAAGAAATCCAATGATGAACATAAAGACAGAGTGAGAAGTGTTGTGTGTTCTGTGAAGACATTTTAAGATAGTTGTTGATAGTGCTTAAAATTTCATTCATTTTCAACCACATTAACGCTGTTCACCAAGCTGACAGTTAAACACGCCTCTGTTTAACTGTCACAGGAGTGTTTACGTGCCCCAATGCCATTACAGCCAATACAAGCCTTTTTAACATTTTATAGTGGAAAATGAGATTTTTCTGTTTTCTAACAGCTCTGTACCTGGTTCCTTCTGGGCAGTTAGTAGACCACAGCGGTTCATCGTACCTGTGCAACAATTAACAAGGACACGTGAGAACTTTCTGTTGTAGGGATGAAAGGTAATGATACAGTGCATTATAGGTGCTCAACAGTTAGAAAAAAGTGAATCTATTTATAGTTTTTCACATAAATGTCATCATAAAAGTTTTATAACCATCATGATTATAAGCATGCTTTGAGGACTGAATTAGGAAAGCTGTATATACAAAGGATATAAAAAGACATCAACCGGTTAATCTTTCTTATCTCTCTCCGCGTGTCCCTGTTATCCCCAATCAATCAATCATTTCAGTAACACACTCTCCTCTGTACTGCCGTACGTCTTCGCCCTTCCTGGTTCAGTCTGGATACATTTTCTCCACTTTGTTAATGTGTTTTTGTTTTTATTTTTATATAGACAGCTGTTTGTTCGAAGGCTACAGATGACATAAAAAAATTCCAGTCACTCCCTCACTCTGACAAGCTACAGAAACATCTGTCTGTGGAAGGATCCTCGCATTATTTTTTACGACATTACACTAACAAACCACTAAGATCCATAACCAAGTGTAACAGAAATATTATCCAGCAGTTATTAAGGTTTCTGAGTGTATCTCATGTCAGTGGTGAACCTCTGGTAACCAGTGCGTCATCTCGGATCACGAGAATAAACACACAGAAGAAGAATGCTTACCTCTGACGATCAGCGTTTAAAGTCTTGGACAGTTTCACTGCAGCTCTCTCTTGTATGTGTCGTGACAATTTGTAGATGTGTAAAGCAGAAAATACCTTATCTCGATTGTGACTGAAAGAAAACTGCCAGTCACACCCCCGGGTACGCTCGTTTTTCTACAAAAGATCCCCGAATGGGTGGAGCTTAAAGTTGCAAGCTGTGTTTACTCTGTTCTTTCTTCCTTCTTTCTCTCTTTTGTGTAGTTGGTTGTGTAGAAGACTGCGTACATACCTCATTTTCTACATACTACAATTATAGGCTACTGTGTGTCATGCAGCAACAACATAGCATATATCTATGCTGTTTTAAAGGCACATTGGAATTTGTTCTTTCTAAGACAAAACTTCTAATATACAAAAACCTGATTAATTAAAAAACTTTTTACTTTGCCAAAACCCTTCTTTCCTCTGGTTTCATGAAATGAACACAAAATTGTCATGTTTGAATACACAAAAAATCCCATCATTTAATCACTGCCAGCTGTGGTAGGCCTATCATGTTTCAAACATTTATATCAAATGCAAAAAAGCCATGGCCTACTGGGAGAGAATAGTAATGAGCACACTTTATGATGGTGATTTTACAATATTGGTATTCCTCTGAAACATAATTTTTTTTTTTTAAATCAAAAAAGAGCCAAAAGGTGTTTACTGATCAAAACAGAGACAAACAGAGATCTTTAACCTGTAATATGTTCATATGTTCATTTCATAAAGGGTTATGTGCCTGTGAGATGGGTTTAGTGATGCTTTCCTGAGGTTTCTAATCTTTGGATACCAGATTACATTTTTGGTGTAAATGGTTTTAGACGCAAGTTTTGGTGTAACTTTATTGCTAAAATCTCAAACAGTTAAATTGGAAAGTTTAGCATTTAAATGGCCTTAATCCTGTTGATGTTGCTTTCAGTTGGTGTCCAAAAGTATTTTTTTCAGAATCTTTGTGAATATAACTCAGCTGTGATTTAGAGCTCTACCACCTCTAAACATTACCACAAGAAGCAGCTGTATCTGGTTGGTTAGTTTAAAAAAAACAAAACATCATCCATCATCCATCAACCATTTATGTCAGATAAGGATTAAGCGCTGTTCTGAAAAGTTTTTTTAGCATCTAGCAATACTGTCAAATACACAAATAAAGACAAATACACAAAAAAACAAAGGGAAACACCAAATGAAAATATGAAAACATAATAGAATAATATAAAATTGTTACTGGGTAGATAGTAAGATGCTATGTTGACAGTGTAAAAGCTGTAAAATGGAGTAAATCTGCTTCTCTGCACCAATCCTTAAGAGCAGCCGGTTTAATGAAAACCTCAGAGCCCCAGGACGTCTTCCTGCACCTTGCAACCCAACAGTGCATTTCCAGCTTCCACACAGTCTGCCACAGATGGTGCTGAAAAAAAGAGAGAAAAACAAGTCAAACAGCTGATTTAACCAGCACATACTGTTAAAAACAACAGATCATCATTACTATCATGGTTTTTACCATTCTGAGCACGGAGCCATGACACAGCCTTCATAGCCAGAAGCTCCCACTCCTCCTTAGCATCCATTTTTAAAGCATGAAGCCAGATCAGAGCCAGAATGGTGGCCCACACTTCCTGGTTCACCTAATTCCACAAATCAAAGAAAGTCACGTGACAGGTAATCAAACAGAACAAGGTACATAAAGTATCTCAGGGGAAAATGTAGCCTGGTGGTTCTGAGCAACTTTACTTTAAAACAACATAATAACATGATCCACAAATATAAGACGCTGAAATATTTGATGCAGCCGGGTCATCACTGTATAATACCACTGTATAATATCAAAACAAATCCCATTATAAATTTGTCTCATTATATTTGACAGTAACGCACCGATGCAGGCTTTGACTTGTCCACCTGCTCGCGGGTCTTTCCTAATGCATCAGCCAGAGCTGGATCTAACAGCCAGGAGCCGGACGCATTCTGGAGGGAAACCACCTGCAGCAAAGGGTCTCTGCAAGGCTGTTTGGGGATGGTGCTTTCAATATCTTCATCATCCAAGGCTGAAGCAAGTACAGCTGAAGCTGATGGGAATGTCATTAGTTTTGCAGGTGTTTGGTCATAAAGCAAAGTAATGCACAAATACATTTTGACTTGATGATGATGGTACAAGATGAAAAGTCAGAGAGCCAGTGAAGTATGTATGTATGTATGTTGGTTTTTGGTTTGGTTTTTTATTTGTCACCCATCTGAATCTAAAAATAGATGGGATTTACCGACTTGGGTGGCTTCAACACACTTTTCTCTCTCAATCAAAACAATAACAAAAGAAGGCATTTGATGACGTCATGAATTAGCGTGGGATCATAGGAATTGTCGTCTTCATTGTAAAACGACTGATTGCTGTTTTATTTTTAGTTTAGGGTTCATTCAGAGTTCATTGTTCAAGAGGATTTTACTGGAGTCAAATTATCTGCAAAGGTGTCCAAAAATATTTTATTTTGCAATGTTGTTTTGTTACTGTCCTTCTCATTGTAGTATTACATATAGTACAGTATTTGTTTTACACCACTTTCCTTCTTCTTAATATTTGCAGTTTGTCTCACATTAGTTGTATGTTCTTTGTAGTGTATTTGTGTTTTTATTTAATGTGTCTTTTAAATTACCCCTGGGGGCAAATAAAGTTTACTGAATTGAATTGAATTGAATTGAAATGGACACAGTGATTATTAACAATGAATAAAGCAGTTTCACATTAAAAATCAGTCTTTCTCCAATGCTGTTTGGCACACACAAGACATGCCAGAAGGGCTGTGAGCTTATGTGCCGATTAAAATCCTTCACTTGGTTAAAATATGGTTAAAAACAACCAGGATCGAAAAAGTGTATCCTAAAAATGTGGCTTAAAAATGGATAAAAAGTCACAATGCTGACACAAAAGGGATATGACGCCATTGACAGGTGAACAACTGAAACGGAGCATAACCTTTATTAAAATGACAGATTTGTCTAAGTTTGAAAATTGCTGGAAATATTTGGGACAAAAACTCAACAAAATATATAACATAAGTCTAGTAATCTTTACATTTAATGCGTTACATATTATACCTTTGAAGTTCAGTGTTTGCAGACTTTTACCAAAAACTGAAAAAATTCATTGCACTTTAAATTAATATTCATTCCAACAGTGTCTGTAGGAAATCTATACCCAGTTAGAAAATATTGGGTCAAGAAATCATGCATGATGTTCTCATTCAAACAATTTTATACTACAAAATCTTACCTGTATAATAAAGTAAATATTATTTATATACATTTTCAAAATTGTATTTTTTATATATTTTGGGGGAATTTAATGTCTGTTTTTACCCTGTGTAGATATGACAGGAAAAGACAAAAGGAGAGAGAGAGATGGGGGGCAACATGCACACCGTCCACTGCCAGATTCAAACCACCGTCATTCCAGTTATGCAGCATGCATCTTAACCAGTAGCAACTGGAGCACACCGTATTTCTTTATTTAATATTTTAATATTTACTCCATTTCACTGTCACATTTCACTTTATTAATAAATGGATACACAAACGCATTGGCGTATCCATATATTAATAAAGTATTTTTAGTTTCACATGTACAATCAGAGTGCCCCAGATTTGTTTCTGACTGCCATTGCACAGTTTCAGCTCTTACAACACTTATTACACTGGACAGTTGTTTTGTTTTGTTTTTTTCAAATTATGTTATTCAGTATCAGATTTGAATTAAATTATTCAAGGATGATATAATAAATACAAATACAAAAATAAAATAAAAAATATATAAATGTAAATTATTTGATTCTTACAAATGTTCAATCTGAGAAATTCAAATTCAAAAGGTTCAGATTCAGTTTGTCGTAGCACATATTTCTGCCCGTAAGAAATACCCAGAGAAATATTTTACAACAAAAGGCCTGAAAATTAGTGTTAGTCTTACTCACTTAAGTCGATTACAGTAATACGTAGTATGTTGTGGCAGCTGTTGAAAACAGTTCAGTGAAAATTCAAAGTGCATGGGTCTGCTTACAACTATTGAGCTGAAGCAGTCCACGCAGATTTGGTTTCCCCATTTTTCTGTGAAGTCTGCCAAGCGTAGCTCCTCTACAACCTTTTGAGAAAGCAGAACAACCAGGTACAGAATGGTTTCTGGATAAATCCACAGGGCCCGTGTCACCTTGATGAAAAAAGGTGACATCCTGTGCAATGATATGGCTCTCTAATGTGGGACAATGACAAATGTAGAAAATTGTTAAGGTTATGTGTAGTGGTAAAACCAAGATTTTTCAGCTAATGAAAAAAATGTTTTAACGTGTTTTATTTAATTAGAAACAATCTAATGGTTCTTTTGCATGTTATGGGCATACACGTGCCTCCATGCACACATACATAAAGTAGTTCACTCACTGTTTATCCATTTACCATGTTTACAAAAATACACATGTGCGTTCCACTCCCATTCCCCTTTGTATTTAGTGGTCATACTTGAACTGCAGAGCAGTGAAACACCCAGCCGTTCTAAGTCATCATCTATCCCTTTAGGCTTTAACAAGATGTTGTTCAAATGTACAAGTTGAAAAAATGTCACAAAAAATGTGTAACAGCTCAACCTTCCTCACTTACTGCTCTGGCCAAGTGCATGTTGTGTGCATGTCAATGACTAACAAAGCATACCAGAGCTAAAACAACTCCTATACAGTATTTCACATTAAAGTTGCAAAAAACAAAGAGAGCAATTCTGCCGAGAAAATGGGTTGTTTTGTTCAGTGTTTGAATCAACTTACTGTATTTATAGAAACTATTTAAGATGTGGGATTAACTCCCATTACTCCCATTACTAATTTCATCTTGCAATCATGGGTA